ACTAACAGCCTGCCTTTATACTGTCACTGGACAACAACCCGGTATCATGTGAGTATTATTTTGAGGAAAATTACAGTGATGTTAACTAATGGGTCTCGTATTTCAACAAATATTTCTTCATTCAACGAGTAAAATATTAAGAACGAGAGAGATGTATGTGTTACAACTTCTAGATAACAAAAGAAAACACGTCCCATTTTAATTCTGGAAACCCAATAGTCCAGAAACTCTAGTCTTTGCCCAGTCTCGATCTAAGGTATTTACAAAATTAAACATGCTGTTTTCATGGAAACATACCAAGGAAGAAAAAATGAAAAATAAATTGTTCAAAAACTCAATATTTACACTATGTCGCCCATGGGCCTGCCCATAGGCGAGAATATGTTCCTTTACTTAAAACTCATGTTTTTGTTTCGCAAATACATAAATGTATTTCTTTCAAGTATCATGACACAAAAGTTAACTCTTTTTAACTTAATTCAACGATTTTATAGCGATATTGAAATATTTCGCCAATGGGCGAGAAAAAGGTTTGGCCCATGGGCGAGAATATGTTCCTTTACTCAAAACTCATGTTTTTGTTTCGCAAATACATAAATATATTTCTTTCAAGTATCATGACACAAAATTTAACTCATTTTAACTTAATTCAACGATTTTATAGCGATATTGAAATATTTCGCCAATGGGCGAGAAAAGGGTTTGGCCCATGGGCAGGCCTATGGGCAAGAATATGTTCCTTTACTTAAAACTCATGTTATTGTTTCGCAAATACGAATATGTATATATTTCAAGTATCACGACACAAAACGTAACTCATTTTAACTTAATTCAACTATTTTATAGCGATATTGAAATATTTCGCCAATGGGCGAGAAAAAGGTTTGGCCCATGGGCAGGCCTATGGGCGAGAATATGTTCCTTTACTCAAAACTCATGTTTTTGTTTCGCAAATACATAAATATATTTCTTTCAAGTATCACGACACAAAATTTAACTCATTTTAACTTAATTCAACGATTTTATAGCGATATTGAAATATTTCGCCAATGGGCGAGAAAAAGGTTTGGCCCATGGGCGAGCCTATGGGCAAGAATATGTTCCTTTACTTAAAACTCATGTAATTGTTTCGCAAATACATAAATGTATTTCTTTCAAGTATCATGACACAAAATTTAACTCATTTTAACTTAATTCAACGATTTTATAGCGATATTGAAATATTTCGCCCATGGGCGAGAAAAAGGTTTGGCCCATGGGCGAGAATATTTTCCTTTGCTCAACAGTTTTAGTTTCGCAAATACATTAATTAGGGATTATAAGCATGACACATGATTCAACTCATTTTAACTTAATTCAACTTATTTTTGGCGTTTTTAAAATATTTCGCCCATGTTTTCGTCAGTCCCTTTAAAGCATCAACTAACTGTGTGCAAAGTATATTGTTTCATGTGAAATATATTTTATATTATACCATTACATTACTATATAAAAAGACCTTTGGTTGGATCAGAGACCATATAATAGATTTATATCATGGTCTCTGGTTGGATGTTTCCTTTATAGAAGTTTTACAAATTTCACCTGTTTTACATATTGTAACGATCTTTAATGAACCCGGCCTTACCTCCCAAAACGTTTTGACAGATTTTCATACGAATTCATGCGCGTGTACTCCAATTCATTGGAGTTATTTTCCACAACATTAGAGTTTAGTTAGTTTCTTTTTCATTTCCCATTTTATGTCCCGTCGATACTTCACACTGGGCAATTACGTGACACTAAGTATGCAGTATACAGGTACACGTGCGCGTATTTTAATGGAAAAAACTATTCGTCTTTTATTGCATAACGTCTGGCTGAATATCTCACATTCTAACGAAATCTCGAAATAATTATTTAATTACATACGGTGTCTAACTGACCAGTGGGAATTATGTTTCAATGCGATTGAGGAAAACTTGAGGGAATATTGTGACACTAAAGCAACTTTTAAATGCATTGTCACTTTTGGTATGAAAATGGTAACAGTTAAGAAAACCGCAACACCCTTCTTGTGATAATTCTCATATTCTCATTAGTGCGTTGTATCTAATTACAGTGTCGGCCTTATTTACAGGTGATTCTACAATACCTGCTTTCGGTCAAATACGATCTACCACACCACGCGTGAATAAACAGTTATGTAGGCGTTGCTGTGGGCAAATACCTAGCCTGTATATGTATATTTTTTTGTGGATACATGTATTACATATTTTCGTTGATATGTGGATATATTAAGCACAAAGACAAAAAAAGGTTTATGAAAGATGAATTAGTGCCTTGATATATTCAACGAGATGTGTATCATCGTTTAATGGGTCATTCAATAAAAGTATGTTTGGAGGAGATATCAAAGGAGCCGCCCAATATACACAGTGTCGTCCGGTGAACTACCACCCCAGCCTGTCCGTAAGAGTTATGAAATCGGTACACAAATATATTTGATGCGGTGTCAGTGTAGAAGGAGTTTGAATTAAGTCCGCCACTGGCCACAGAAACCCTCAAAGTATAGTAATTACCAACAAGGTCAATGCCGTACTAATTACCTGGTGACGTAACAACGACTGTCAATGTGTCTACTACAGCTACCATACCATCATCCCTAGGCCTGTCACAACTGCCATATTAACGGCTTATTCAAAATATTAATAATTGTAGAAACGTCGTTAAGAGACTAACGTATGTCGTATAGTCCTCATATTTGATTTAAAAAAGTAAATACGTCAACTGGGAATTCAACTGGATGTTACCTTCCTTATATCAGCTAACAGCCCTGTTTGTGAAAATATGTACTAGACATAAGATTTAAATCAATTGTAAGACCACATAGACCATAAAACCGAATTTAATATGTCTTGGTATCATCTCTTTTGTGTTAGCTGATGGTAACGACCTGAAATGTTATAACGTTAGATTAGGAAGGAGAAACATTAAAGTGTTTTATAATACTTGGGAACATGAGCAATAAGATGTAGCAACATAAACATGCATGGAATAGGGAAAATGGTGAAAACAAATTGAAAAGGATTTTAATACAAAATTATTGAACTAAATAACTTGCCTGAACACAAGGGGTACACAAACTTGTTTGACAGTTATTCGTGTGTTGTAGACTGTCGAATGGGACTCGTGTGTGTGCGTAGGGTACAAATATCTATTGCAAGTTTTAGTACACATACACTTTCTCTTTTTGTGTTGATATGATTTCTATTTTCGTACATGATATGATTTCATTTTTATCTTTGGCTGCTCTGTTTATGTACATTTATGTTCGAGTAGTTGTCTGTCCCTCATAAATAGACATAGTGCTGCCTCGCTATTGCATCTCTTGACTAACTGCAATTCTTGTTTTAACCAAGCCCGGATTTGACATTCCAGTAACTGGATTCAGGTTGATTGCAAGATATGCATACCTCGTCATAGTGATTGTTGTGAATTCCTGAAAGTTTTGTTTGTTTGTTAGTTGTATAACGCCGCACTTAGCAATATTTCAGCTGTATGACGGCGGTCTGTAAATAATCGAGTCTGGACCAGACAATCCAGTGATTGACATCACGTGTATCGATCCAAGCAATTGGAATACGGTGACATGCATCAACCAGGTCAGCGAGCCTGACCCAACGATCCCGGTAGTCGCCTCTTACGACAAGCGCTGTCGCCCTTTTATGCCAAGAAGGGGTTGTTGAAGATCTGTTCTACCCCGGATCTTCACGGGTCTATTGACGCAGGGATTTGTGTAAAGTCATTCCGACAGCATACAATGCCCACTCAATGTCTCCTCAAAGTAATATAGTTCGGTACTTAGAGTACATGTGAGATTATACTCAGGTTAGGGAGATGTTTAATCTATTTCTACCTAACAATGCATTTAATGAAATGAATGCAAAACAAACTCAACGGTTAAAAGGTTTCATTGAAAAAACTACCCCTGGTCTTGCCTAATAAAACAACTGCAAACCGACACAGATCAAAAGCAACTTACAAACACAATCATAATCTGGTTAATCTGTATTACTCAACGAGTTGGAGTAGCTTACTCTGCCCACAGTATGACAGTATTTGGGCAGCTCAGTAATTAGGAGGTTAGACCAGGCAGGTACACTGGTCACACTTGACTGGTCTGTCTGATGATTAGGTCGTCTGGCAATTGGGAGTGAACCATAGCAAGTACAGCGGGATGGTTCACTCCCAAAACTTCTACATGCCAAAACATCTACAGAGAGTTGTCATGGCTGATTGAGTTTACCTATTGTTATAATGGTATAGTCCTCCTGTAATTAAGAAGACTCATTAGCTTCTTTACGAAATTGTTTTAGAAAGGCAAGGAAGGGTACTTTTGGAAGATTAAATAGTTACAGATGTACCTAATGAAAACAACTTATTTGGAGATAAAGAAGATTATAATAAAAAGACCCGTCACTTACAATGAAATTAACTGGTTTAGGAAATCACAATTATACACTGTTTAAGATCAAAAGGTTTCATGTGTATGTAGGAAAAGCAACTTACATGTTGTCGGGCTACAGAGTAGTTTGAACCTTAAATTGGGTTTACTCAATTTATTGTGGATTAACACTATAGTCCATCAGGATGACAATCAAGAAATCATATCAATACAAAAACAGAAATTATGTGAACACCAAACTCACAATAGATATGTGTACCCTACTCACACACAGGAGTCCCAAAGAGGGACAGGTCAGCCGAAATTGCCAAGGCAGAAGGCGACCTCTTAAACACTTAATGCAACAACGATGACAATTTATCACTGTGGCTGGTATCAGGAAAGTGGAGTATGTCATGTCACAGAAGGGTACTGTGCAGGTATTCCTAGATGGCTATCGTTATAACAAGAATGTTGTCAGACAGACATGCATTCACTGGAAGTGCGTAGACTCCACTTGTAAGGGCAGATGCACCACTGTAGGTGACTTCATCAGAAATGTCTCTGATCACACTCATCCACCTGAAGACAGCAGTAGAGTAAGATTCATCAGTACCATGAGGAAGAGGGCCAGAGAAGAAACCACGTCGATGCGTACCCTGTACAACGATGAGGTAGCTACAGAAGACCAGCCACAGCTGCTGCCATCGTTCCCATCCATGAGCAGTGCCTTGTACCGACACAGGCGGAAGAACATCCCAGCACTCCCACAGACAAGAGCTGAAGTCCAACTTGGAGGAAACTGGACTGAAACAACAGACAGCCGCCCATTCCTGCTTTTCACTGATGGAGATGCAAACAAGATTGTTGTATTTTCTACCCATGACCAACTCCAAGCTTTGCAGTCTGCAGATACTGTATGCAGGCAACTCCACCAGTTCCGAGAGCTGAAGACTTCAATGACTATATGGTCATCAACTGGGTTGACGATGATGCTCGGTTTCCAATACCTCTGTGGAATCACCACCAGACAGCCGGCCAGAGGGATTTCACCATCGCCTTAACAGAACCTTACCCCACCGCCACCCGAATATCTACCGATTTGTAGAAGTGATTCAGAAGATTGAGTGTGCAGACAGGACAAAAATCGCACAGTTAGACTTTGGTGCCGCCCCACCTAGCAGGAATCGAGTTTACAGAGAGACTGAAAATCGCCTTAGACGTCTTAAGGACATGTTGACTCAAGGGCAGAAAACCCCTATCGAGTTCCTTGATGCTGTTGGTCATCTTCTCAAACTTGGTTAAGAGACTTGAAATATAGTAATTTTAGTGCTGTATGTGACAGAGTGAGGCCAGTTGTGACATTAAATTAGTGTGTGTACTATTTATTTATACCAGTGCTTACATTAAATTAGTAAGTAGTCTAGTGCAAAAAGTGTGTGTACTATTTATTATACCTGTGCTATATGAGTAAATTGTCTTCATTGTCTTCATATTGTTTTGTTTTGTTGTATGTTGACAGGGTATGAAACTCCCAAAAATTTCAGCCAGTCCACAGGACTGGCTACCTGAAATACTTGCCAGCCCTGACCAAAACCCGCCTGCCCACTATAATCATATGTTTCTCACGATAAGCTAACGGGGTTTCTTTTTGGTTACATTTTATCATTCATCTTTACATGTGAATTAATGCTTATCATCGGGAAATATTTAGAATATTTTCACATATGAAATATAACCCGACCGTCGGGCAGGGGAATTTGAAAATCTGGCAGCCCTAGTTGAAATCAACCCGTCTCGGACGGTCGGGCAGGCAGGTATTTCGAACACTGATGTTTTACACTTAATTAATTGGACTGTTCCAATCAATGCCCAACAGGTAATAGCCAGGAGATTAGTGGTGCAGTGGACCATAAACTTTGTTGTTTTAAGCTGTAGAAGTTTTGGCATGTAGAAGTTTTGGGAGGACACCAGCGGGATATCTGCGAATCTTGTTGCTCCTTTTATGGGACCGATTAGTTTTATGACCAGGGGCCTCGGCACAAGCGTGGTGCTGGAAGACAAGTTATACATGTACATCCCATATGGTGACTGTTTTCGCTATTCATATTCTCAATTCATTCATAATACCACAACATTTTAGTACTTCTTCAAACTTTACAGTCGCTTCAATATGTACAATAGATTGAACGAGAACAAATGATATATTGCAGATTATTAAATCATTGTCTCTATTATCAGCTGCTACGTTTGTATTGTACAAAGAAATATTGTGTCTGTCCTTTTGCAGATTTAGCCCCAGAATGTGCTCATTCGAATTAGGAACGAAAATAATTGCTTATCATGAGTATATTACAGTTAAAAGTTACTTGTACACTGTAGATGTATTCACTTTAAAGTCGTATACGACCTTCGCGAGCGAGTTGAATGATCCAGGTTAATTGGAACGAAGTCTAGAAAGGGTTATAAAGTTTTGTATTTGGTAATGTGTAGGTTTGTTAAGTGTGATTTTTTAAATTCCTTTTATTCAAAATGTAAAAAAATAATTATGCGCTGAAAAATAGAGCTGACTTGATGGGTGATATGGCGTTAGCCACCTGAGGTTGTCTGGTGGACACGGTTTAACCTTACTGTGCCCTCACCCTGGTTGTTGTTGTCGATGTTATAAGAGATTGAGAGCTACAGCTCATTGCAATTTTGGTTTCAGTCTGTCTCACTAAAGTGGACATGTGCAGGTGAATGCCCAAAAATGTGAACTCCAGGCAATAATAACCTGAGAGTAAATCCACGTGCGTCTGCCTTTCCCCTCGTTCACCTTCGAAATCCTTGATCATGCCAGAGTTCTGAAATTCAGTGACAATGTTGCTAAACAGTTGAATCTGATGGACGTATTGTGCAGAACCCGTTTGACACTATTGGTTCCAGGACCACTAACACTGGGAAGAAAGACACTCTGAGCTGAAAAAAGTTTGGTCCTAACCGCACCAACATCTACAAGTTTGTAAGCTTGTAGACATCATTAAGAAGAAATTAACAGTTCCACTCAGACCTTTCTCAAAATTCAGGCGGTGGCAGGCTGCCAACAAAGAGAAGAAAATATCGCAACCTCGACACAAGTGTGCTCAGTCAAACAATGAACTTACGACCGGCAGAAAACAACTCCAGTTGAGTATGCCGATGCTGTATCTCAACCGTGTTGGCCTGAAAATTTAAGCATGCTAATTAAACTCATAATCGTATAATTATTTTTAATAGAAACCGTATCTTAATTTGTTCTTGCACTGTATCATATCGTGTATTTCATCTGTATGTGTAATGTGTATATGAATAAATGACCACACTTTTACCGCATATTCTGCAACAGACTATAATTAATCACCTTATTATTGTCTCTCCATTTACCATGGCTGACTGCACTAATACACTTTTAACAGTGGACACTGTAGAGTCAGGATGGTCCAGATTTAACTTCGTCTTGCATCAAAAACAAACAAGTACATTCAAGCTTCTGTTCTTTACTTTCGACCCACATGGCGTACAGACCTTCTGCGCATGTCCGCAGCTAATAATAAACCGGATACACATCCGTTGTTTGAATCCGGAGGATACGGACAATACCCATGATAACCAGACAATAACCAGAGTCGGTGTTAACATAGTACTGTAAACACTACAGACACCGATTTCAGTATACATGTAGGCTCTTTGTTAAAAAAGGAATATGCAGGAAATTATATGTAACATTTGGGGATTGCCTAAAAGTCAGGCTGGGCGGGCCAGCGGGTAATACTCAAAATGGATTGCAGAATAATAAAACGAAACGTGCATATCTAGGCAGATTTCAAATCTCGACAAACGTATAGTTTTTCTCATTTCATTGAGTTTGAATCAAAGTGTTGTTGTTGTTGTTGCATAAAGTGTTTAGGAGGTCGCCTTCTGCCTAGGCATTTCTGCTGACCTGTCCCACTTTGGGACTCCTGTGTGTGAGTAGGGTACACCTATCTATTGTGAGTTTGGTGTTCACATAATTTCTGTTTTTGTATTGATATGATTTCTATTTTCTTATATTGATATGGTTTCATTTCTATCCTTGGCTGCTCTGTTTATATACGTTCGAGTAGCTGTCCATCTCTCAGAAATAGAGTTAGTTTGGCCTTCGCTAATGCATCTCTTGGCTTTAGGAGATCTATGACAGATAGCGGATCTAACTGTAATTCTTGTTTTAACCTAGCCCGGGCTTGGGCATGGTCTTGACATTCTAGTAACACGTGATCAATGGTTTCAGCCTGATTGCAAGATGAACAAACCTTGTCATAGTGCTTTTTGTGACCGAGTCTGAGGCGTGAGATAGCAATTCCAATTTTCCTTTCATTTGAGTATGAGTTTGGCTTTTGTTGGACCTCGGGTTGAATTTTGTTTAGCCATCTGCCGATCTTACTTGCATCCCATTGGGCTTGCCATCTTTCTGCCTCTTGCTTTTTATCTCTAGTTTACTAAAGGGAATAGGCTGTATATCCGCTTTTTCTAGAGCTAGCTTTGCCAGTGAGTCTGCTTTTTCATTTGCATGAATATCTATGTGAGAGGGGATCCAACACAGCTCCACCTGTTGCCCTTGGTCCAATAGTTTTGTATATTCGTATAGAATATTGTTGACTGTGTTTGGCCTGGAGTTTGAGTTTCTGCCACTGATGGCCTGAAGTGCACTTAGCGAGTCTGATAGGACGACTGCCTTTGCAGAATGAGTTTGAGTGCATGATGAATTGCCTCCAATTCAGCCGTGAATACTGACTGACCATCAGGCAAGCGAACTGAATGTGCTTGGGGTTTGGAGCTGTGGATATGGATCCCGTAACCAGCACTGTTGTTGATAGGATTCTTGGATCCATCAGTGTATATATGGGCCCAGCTGTCCAAGGTAGTTTGAATTTTAGTGATAGCTACTGATCGTAGTAGGGTTGGGTTTTCTTTTTTAGTGACTTCTGATGTTAAAGCAGTGTCAACTTTGGGAGTTGTCCAGGGATGGTGTAACCCTTTGTAGTGACTTTCTGGAGGCTGAATGGCATCACATTTATGACTTCGGATGAGTTCACGTACTAATATCGCAGATGGCTTGAGTGAGGGATTTTTCCGAGCCAGGGCTTCATCTCGAGTGTTTCTGTCTTGCCATATCTTTTTAAGGGTTTGATGTTCGTCCCCAGAACGATAATATTGCCTGTTCTCTTCTTATTTTCAATGGGAATTCTCCCGTTTCTACTTGTAGTGCTTCTAGTGAGGTGCCTGTTGCTGCGCCTGTGGCCAGCATTAGGGCTTTGTATTGTATTCTGTCTGGGCGCCTCAAGACAGTATTTGATGCTGAATGAAAAGCCTCACAACCATAGTCAATTTTTGATCTGATAAGAGATTTGTAGAGGTGCAGCTGAGTGTCCCTCGATGTGCCCCAAGATGTGCCTGAAATTGCCCGTAATACAATCAGGTCTTTTTGACATCTGTTTTCCACATATTCTATATGTTTGCGCCAAGTGAGGTGTTGATCAATGATCACCCCAAGAAATATTGTAGATTTTTCGAATTCGATAGGTTTGCCTTTTATGGAGACACGGGGTATCATAGCATCTATCCCCTGGCGTTTGAATAGAACTCCAACAGTTTTTTCACTTGAAAGAGTGAATCCCCATTTATTGCACCATTGGGTTTTTTTCTGATTTGTGAAATATCTCTGTGCTTTACCCATATTGCTCCGTCATCAGCGAATTTAGAAGTTTGGGTAGGAGAGTTGACATGGTCAAAAAGATCGTTGATCATGATAT